GGGATGCTTAAATGTGCGTGGATGTAGTGCGGATGACAAGAAACAGATGATTGCTGATGTTATGAATGAAAAGAAGTTGGATGTCCTGGCCCTAAGCGAAACAAAGCTGAAGGGGGTAGGGGAATTTCAGTGGGGGGAAATAAATGGGATTAAATCTGGAGTATCTGAGAGAGTTAGAGCAAAGGAAGGGGTAGCAGTAATGTTGAATGATCAGTTATGGAAGGAGAAAAGAGAATATGAATGTGTAAATTCAAGAATTATGTGGATTAAAGTAAAGGTTGGATGCGAGAAGTGGGTTATAATAAGCGTGTATGCACCTGGAGAAGAGAGGGGAAAGCAGAGGAGAGAGAGAGATTTTGGAGATGTTAAGTGAATGTATAGGAGCCTTTGAACCAAGTGAGAGAGTGATTGTGGTAGGGGACATGAATGCTAAAGTAGGAGAAACTTTTAGAGAGGGTGTGGTAGGTAAGTTTGGGGTGCCCGGTGTAAATGATAATGGGAGCCCTTTGATTGAACTTTGTATAGAAAGGGGTTTAGTTATAGGTAATACATATTTTAAGAAAAAGAGGATAAATAAGTATACAAGATATGATGTAGGGCAAAATGACAGTAGTTTGTTGGATTATGTATTGGTAGATAAAAGACTGTTGAGAAGACTTCAGGATGTACATGTTTATAGAGGGGCCACAGATATATCAGATCACTTTCTAGTTGTAGCTACACTGAGAGTAAAAGGTAGATGGGTACAAGGAGAATAGAAGCATCAGGGAAGAGAGAGGTGAAGGTTTATAAACTAAAAGAGGAGGCAGTTAGGGTAAGTATAAAAACAGCTATTGGAGGATAGATGGGCTAATGAGAGCATAGGCAATGGGGTCGAAGAGGTATGGGGTAGGTTTAAAAATGTAGTGTTAGAGTGTTCAGCAGAAGTTTGTGGTTACAGGAAAGTGGGTGCGGGAGGGAAGAGGAGCGATTGGTGGAATGATGATGTAAAGAGAGCAGTAAGGGAGAAAAAGTTAGCATTGAGAAGTTTTTACAAAGTAGAAGTGATGCAAGGAGGGAAGAGTATATGGAGAAAAAGAGAGAGGTTAAGAGAGTGGTGAAGCAATGTAAAAAGAGAGCAAATGAGAGAGTGGGTGAGATGTTATCAGCAAATTTTGTTGAAAATAAGAAAAGTTTTGGAGTGAGATTAACAAGTTAAGAAAGCCTAGAGAACAAATGGATTTGTCAGTTAAAAATAGGAGAGGCGAGTTATTAAATGGAGAGTTAGAGGTATTGGAAGATGGAGGGAATATTTTGAGGAATTGTTAAATGTTGATGAAGATAGGGAAGCTGTGATTTCGTGTATAGGACAAGGAGGAATAACATCTTGTAGGTAGTGAGGAAGAGCCAGTTGTGAGTGTGGGGAAAGTTCGTGAGGCAGTAGGTAAAATGAAAGGGGGTAAGGCAGCCGGGATTGATGGGATAAAGATAGAAATGTTAAAAGCAGGTGGGGATATAGTTTTGGAGTGGTTGGTGCAATTATTTAATAAATGTATGGAAGAGGGTAAGGTACCTAGGGATTGGCAGAGAGCATGCATAGTTCCTTTGTATAAAGGCAAAGGGGATAAAAGAGAGTGCAAAATTATAGGGGGATAAGTCTGCTGAGTATACCTGGTAAAGTGTATGGTAGAGTTATTATTGAAAGAATTAAGAGTAAGACGGAGAATAGGATAGCAGATGAACAAGGAGGCTTTAGGAAAGGTAGGGGGTGTGTGGACCAGGTGTTTACAGTGAAACATATAAGTGAACAGTATTTAGATAAGGCTAAAGAGGTCTTTGTGGCATTTATGGATTTGGAAAAGGCGTATGACAGGGTGGATAGGGGGGCAATGTGGCAGATGTTGCAAGTGTATGGTGTAGGAGGTAGGTTACTGAAAGCAGTGAAGAGTTTTTACGAGGATAGTGAGGCTCAAGTTAGAGTATGTAGGAAAGAGGGAAATTATTTCCCAGTAAAAGTAGGCCTTAGACAAGGATGTGTGATGTCACCGTGGTTGTTTAATATATTTATAGATAGGGTTGTAAGAGAAGTAAATGCGAGGGTCTTGGCAAGAGGCGTGGAGTTAACAGATAAAGAATCACACACAAAGTGGGAGTTGTCACAGCTGCTCTTTGCTGATGACACTGTGCTCTTGGAAGATTCTGAAGAGAAGTTGCAGAGATTGGTGGATGAATTTGGTAGGGTGTGCAAAAGAAGAAAATTAAAGGTGAATACAGGAAAGAGTAAGGTTATGAGGATAACAAAAAGATTAGGTGATGAAAGATTGAATACAGTGGACCCCCGCATAACGATTACCTCCGAATGCGACCAATTATGTAAGTGTATTTATGTAAGTGCGTTTGTACATGTATGTTTGGGGGTCTGAAATGGACTAATCTACTTCACAATATTCCTTATGGGAACAAATTCGGTCAGTACTGGCACCTGAACATACTTCTGGAGTGAAAAAATATCGTTAACCGGGGGTCCACTGTATCAGATTGGAGGGAGAGAGTATGGAGGAGGTGAATGTATTCAGATATTTGGGAGTGGATATGTCAGCGGATGGGTCTATGAAAGATGAGGTGAATCATAGAATTGATGAGGGAAAAAGAGTGAGTGGTGCACTTAGAAGTCTGTGGAGACAAAGAACTTTGTCCTTGGAGGCAAAGAGGGGAATGTATGAGAGTATAGTTTTACCAACGCTCTTATATGGGTGTGAAGCATGGGTGATGAATGTTGCAGCGAGAAGAAGGCTGGAGGCAGTGGAGATGTCATGTCTGAGGGCAATGTGTGGTGTGAATATAATGCAGAGAATTCGTAGTTTGGAAGTTTAGGAGGAGGTGCGGGATTACCAAAACTGTTGTCCAGAGGGCTGAGGAAGGGTTGTTGAGGTGGTTCGGACATGTAGAGAGAATGGAGCGAAACAGAATGACTTCAAGAGTGTATCAGTCTGTAGTGGAAGGAAGGCGGGGTCGGGGTCGGCCTAGGAAAGGTTGGAGGGAGGGGGTAAAGGAGGTTTTGTGTGCGAGGGGCTTGGACTTCCAGCAGGCATGCGTGAGCGTGTTTGATAGGAGTGAAAGGAAAAAGAAAGGTTATGAGGATAACAAAAGATTAGGTGATGAAAGATTGAATATCAGATTGGAGGGAGAGAGTATGGAGGAGGTGAACGTAATTCAGATATTTGGGAGTGGACGTGTCAGCGGATGGGTCTATGAAAGATGAGGTGAATCATAGAATTGATGAGGGGAAAGAGTGAGTGGTGCACTTAGGAGTCTGTGGAGACAAGAACTTTGTCCTTGTAGGCAAAGAGGGGAATGTATGAGAGTATAGTTTTACCAACGCTCTTATATGGGTGCGAAGCATGGGTGATGAATGTTGCAGCGAGAAGAAGGCTGGAGGCAGTGGAGATGTCATGTCTGAGGGCAATGTGTGGTGTGAATATAATGCAGAGAATTCGTAGTTTGGAAGTTAGGAGGAGGTGCGGGATTACCAAAACTGTTGTCCAGAGGGCTGAGGAAGGGTTGTTGAGGTGGTCGGACATGTAGAGAGAATGGAGCGAAACAGAATGACTTCAAGAGTGTATCAGTCTGTAGTGGAAGGAAGGCGGGGTAGGGGTCGGCCTAGAAAGGTTGGAGGGAGGGGGTAAAGGAGGTTTTGTGTGCGAGGGGCTTGGACTTCCAGCGGCATGCGTGAGCGTGTTTGATAGGAGTGAATGGAGACAAATGGTTTTTAATACTTGACGTGCTGTTGGAGTGTGAGCAAAGTAACATTTATGAAGGGGTTCAGGGAAACCGGCAGGCCGGACTTGAGTCCTGGAGATGGGAAGTACAGTGCCTGCACTCTGAAGGAGGGGTGTTAATGTTGCAGTTTAAAAACTGTAGTGTAAAGCACCCTTCTGGCAAGACAGTGATGGAGTGAATGATGGTGAAAGTTTTTCTTTTTCGGGCCACCCTGCCTTGGTGGGAATCGGCCAGTGTGATAAAAAAAAAAAAATGATACACTGTACATATCTAAAAAGAAAAGAATGGCAAGAGTTGCAGCAGCAGACACTCCAGCTTTGCTCTTGGTTAGAGTTAGTTCTGCTGGGGAGTTAAAGCAAAAAACAGCATTGAAAAGCTTCTCTGCCTGCTGCTACTGCTTGGGTAACCAAGGAATGTTTCAAACAGTGATGTTAAGATCATTTTGTGAAAGATGTTAGACTACTGTTTTTTCAAAGGGTTACCCTTAAACATTGTATTTATGATTGATAATGCCCCAGAACATTCATTGTATCTATATTATAACTAAGCTATCACATCTCTCTCTGATTCTTATGCCACTATCACTACTCCCTTCTTGCCACCTCTGCCACTGTTACACTCATTATTCTACTACTTCTTCCACTACCTTTAGCACTACTGCTACTACTACAATTATACTTCCACCTCCTCTTTTGTTGTTCTACTGGCCCCTGCCCCCTGCATCCCCCCCCTCTTGAGTATATGTATATACTGGATCCTTCTCCTTCGCACTTTTATGTGACTTGTTAATGCCAAGTTGGACCAAAATATCATCACAAATTTCATTCACCTATGTACAGGTTATTTCTGTATCTACATTATTAACAGGGCACCTGTGCAAGGCTGATATGCAGTTTTTAAGATACAGTATTGAGAGTTAATGAAGTGATAATTATTATTATTATAATTGAAGGGGAAGCGTTAAACCCATAAGATTATACAGCGCCTGAGGGGGTATGTGGAAGGTATTCAGGTTTAATTCAGGGAACTGGAGAACAGACCCAATTCCCTAGATCAAGAGCCCCTCACCAGCATTAAGGAACCTTCATTGAGGGGAATGAAGTGATGAGAGTTACTAATTTCTTAGGCAAAATTACAGTACAATGCTATACTTTAAGGACTGTCTACATATTACAATGTATTGTACATGTATATCTAAACCATCTCTCTCCTGTGTCTTAATTAAACTTTTGTCTTTTCAGCCGATACACAAGGCTAAACTTATCAGCCCACTATCGAGAGGAAGTGGGAAGAAAGGCAAAGCAGTTGTTAGATTATGGTCGGGTAAAGTATTTACAGCAGCAGGGATTCCAGTGTCGTCTTGTACAATATGTGTCCAAGGAAAAAACGCTAGAAAATATTGCCCTTGTTGCCAACTTTATTGGAAGTTAGCATAGTTATTTGTATGATGCATCAATAAAATCATATACCTATATACAGTTTTTTCAGTGATTTCAGCATGTTCATAACAGTTTATATTTTAGTGAAATATACATAATATAACCATTCAGGTAATAGTCCAAGATTATTTAATATTTCACAGGCCTAAAGTACTATTAGGGTTATTTGTCATTCTTCATCTTTGAAACAGCGATTAAATTTAGCCAGTCAATGACTTTATATTATGCTTTTTGACAAACTTTACTATTAAGCTGCAAATATACATTATTTTATAATGCCATAGTTGTTGAATACAAATTTTAACCAAAATTCAAAGTACTCAGACATTCCTGATGTATACATGTTCTTGTCTAGCTGTTGGTAATTTGAGTCCATCACAATAAGAGGAGAGAGGATTGAGTCTCAAGAATTACTTTGATGAATGGCCTTCACTGATGTGTTTTCCTAACCACCCTAGAGGTAAGATATTCCATGCTGCAAGGAAAAGGTAAGATGATGATGGGTTATGGAAGGAAGTGGTGTTGAGCGAAGAACACGAGAAAGGGACTGGGTCGCAGACGATTTAGCAAAGCAAGTGTCAGTTAAGGAATCACAGTGGGAATGTCAAAGAAATGAATGGACAAAGCATGTCAAGTCATCAAAGGTTACCGAGATAATGACTAAGGGCCTGTTTTTGACACACAGGTTTACAGAGAAAAAATATAATAGCAAAACAAGAGTTGCTCTGATAAGGCAAAATCAGGTATTATATTCATGGAAAACACATGACTCCATGGGAAAATGAAGAAGGATCCTCTGTAAACCACGTGTCGTAAGAAGTGACTAAAATGCCAGGAGCAAGGGGCTAGTAACCCATTTTCTTGTATAAATTACTAAATGTACAAAGAAGAAACTACCATCCTTTTTCAGATCAACTTCTTGGTGGGAGACAGCTGCTGTGTTAAAAAAAATATTCTATATAAAGTCAGAGAGCAAACAAAGCAAATATTGTAAGGCAGTGAAAAATGCTTTGAGTAAGTAAGTAAGTAAGTTTATTCAGTTATACACAAATACAGTTACATAGAATTATCATATATAGCATAACATAATCTGTAAGGAGTGAAAACTGAGGCCAACTTTTATGCTGCTTAATTACAGTAGTAGCACTAAATCAGCAGGTGTCATTATTATTATTATAATCAAAAAGAAGCGCTAAGCCGAGCAGGTGTCATACAGCACCTGGAAACATGGGAGTCATTCAGATATGATCCAAGGGCAGGGCAGGTCCAATTTTTTGGGAGGATCACGAGCCCCTCACTGGTATCAAGGAGCCTCCCATAATATACTGTAGCAATTTATTTTTATATTTATTTCATGGGGGGAAGGGGCAGCTAAATCCATAAATTTCAAAGTATCTTGATCCAAGGAAAAGGAGGGAGGGTTCCAATTCTTTGTATCAAGAGCCCTTCACCAACATCAAGGCACTTCCGTCCTTCCTCTCCCTAAAGAGACTTAATATCGCAGAAAGAAACTTCGTGTGATGCAAGGAAAGATGCTGTTCAAATTACCATTTATTATATAAAAAACATAATATATTGTTCAATAAATAACAGATTTCAAAGACACGAAACTATCACACAACATTAACTCTATTACAACACATCACATTGATGAAGGCATATTTTAATTACCATTGTGAATTCAACACCACTTAACATACTGCATACTGAAGAAAAACAACAGTAAGGTGAAACCACAAAACTTGATTAAAATGCCCTCATATAATAATCTTTTCTTGTATACAAACTAAACTTCATCCCGAACATTAGTCCAACTTTAAACCTTTTTTCGCCAGATCTGCCTTTGCTTCCTTAATCTGTTGTTGTAACTCCTCGGCAGCTTCCTGACAGTCGTTGAAAGTGTAAACTCGGTAAGCAATAACAGCAATGGAAACTAAGCCAAACACTGCTACCAAGAAGACAGGAAATAACAAAATTTCCATGTAGTATTGCTTGGTAAACTCATTCTGGATCTGCAAGAAACATACATAACATTTATTTTTATACATGTACAAACATTTGAATGAAACATGCACACTCAACAAGTAATAACTTTAGGAGTGTCAAATATAAACAACTGCTGAGGAAAATTATCGAAGTAATCCATTACTAGTACAGTAGGGCCCCACTTTATGGCATTTCGTTAATATGGACATTATAAACTATGGCCAAAACTTGTTATACAGCTTCCCCCCCCCCCTCGCTAATACAGTCTCTGTGTGCCAGTCTGTTTACATTCCATTATGTCTGGATACTTTCCAAAACTTAGTGTTTTAATGTTATTGCATATTTTATGTATACAGTACAGTGGAACCTCTACTTGCGAGCGCATCCACATGCAAGTTTTTCCAAATACAAGCAGTCGATGGGTTGATTTTTTTGCTTCCATACGCGAGCAAAACTTCCTTGACGCTGGTGAGGGGCTCTTGCTCTTGATCTAGGGGTTTGTATCTCATTTGTTTGTTGGACTATCTTATTGAAACTTGGGCAATGTATGATGGAAAGATGCTTCTTAACGTAACGAAATCAGAACATAAATAATAGAGTTCACTTCTCAGCAATTAGCCACCCCTTAGCGGTATTTTTGTATGGTTGTATTCTCGTTTTTTTGGTCTCATTTGATAGAATGGAAGATATATTACAGAAATAGATATGATTTTGGTTGCTTTCACGATGAAAAGTACTACCTTGAAATTGAGCTCAACGAGGGAGATATGCTCATTTGCTTAACTATGTCCATTCCAATATGCAGTCATGAATGGGTTGACATTATTTATACAATTATTGCAATAAGGCATAACAGTAAATCTTATATTTTTGTGTGAATAAAAATTACAAATTGTTTATATTGTAATAATAATATGTGTAATAATAATAACATATATAATAATAATGTACTACATAATAATTATAATAATAGACGGCTTCAAAAGGCCATCACTGGATGGCAGTGTTTTTACCACAACAAAGAAGGAGCGGTTATGACCGCCTCCACCTGATACATAATGACATATTTTATTCATTCTAGAGTATATATCAGGTTTCCATGTTATTTATATTGTTTGTTATGTCATATTAGATGAACTGTGATAGATAAATAAGCCATATAGAAATTAAGCCATATAGTGAAATTATGCAAGAAGTATTTTGTCCGGTCTCCAGACAAACTGTCGTCCACCGCCGACACCGCCCATACCACTACATGAATTACATATTTTATTCATTTTAGAGTATATATCATGTTTCTATGTTATTTATATTGTTTATTATGTCATATTAGATCAAGTGAGATAGATAAATAAGCCGTAAAGTTTATATTAGCGAAATTATTGAAGTACAGAATTCCACTGGAACGGATTAATTGCATTTCAGTTAATTTAAATGGGAAAAATTGACTCTGCAAACAAGCAAATCCAGTTGTGAGCAAGGTCATGGAATGGATTAAACTTGCAAGTAGAGGTTCCACTGTATAAGAATAAAAAACAACAGTTTTAAAAATATTACAATTATGTATTTAGTAACTCAATAAAAAGTATAATTAGAGATATATTAAGGAAGAAGCTAGGATGACATTGGGAAAAGGTGTTTTTTTTTAACAGTAGCTTTGAAGCTGCTGGCAGAAAGACTAGAGTTTTCTGGTAATGTTTTCCAGATTTTAGATCCTTTTATGCACATTGAGTTTTTGCAAAGATTAAGCTGGACACAGAGAATATCAGAGATTTTTGTGTTTCATATTATGCCTACAAGTTCTGTTGCAACTACCATGAGTTTCAGGGCAGGAATGGTATTACAATTTATTGTCCTGTTATGTAGTATGCATAGTAATATGAGTAAATTTTTTGTATATTAAGTAAGTTTAGGTCTTTGAAGTGGGGAATTGTACTGTCTGGCAGTAGACTGGATGATCATTCATGCTACCTCCTTTTTTGTGTTTTTATTGGCCTACGGTGATTTGTTGTAGCGGATCCCCAGGTACAAATACCATAGGTGAGGTAGGGATAAATTAGAGAATATTATATGTAAGTAGTGCTGTCTGAGGTACTACATAATAACATATCTTGGATACTTTTTTTGTAATGTGTTGAATGTGGGTGTTGAATTTCAAGTTGCAATCTAGAAACAGACCTAGGAATTTTCCTTTGTTTTGTTTAACAATGGAAGAACCGCTAATCATAACAATTAGTTGGACACTCATTGCTCTGTTCCCAAACATCATGTGGACAGTCTTGTTAATGTTAAGCATTAGTTTATTGGTAATCATCCAGGTTGATATCTTGAAAAGTTCTTCATTAACCCTTTCAGGGTCGAGAGGCCCTCTCCTCAACTCGTTCTCAGGGTCGAAAATTTTTCAGAAAATAAAATTATTTTTTCTTATGAAATGATAGAGAATCTTTTCCCAATCATAATGACACCAAAAGTATGAAATTTGATGGAAACTTACGGAATTATGCTCTCGTGAAGTTAGCGGTCTCGACGATGTTTACGCATCGGCGATTTCCCCCACTTTGAGCCCTATTTTCAGCCAATTTCATTGTACTAGTTGACAAAAATCATATCCATTTCGCTAGAACTCCATTTTTTCTATCCATGAGTACAAGAAATCACCCATTTACCAATTTCAAGTATCCAATAAAGTGGTCAGAAATTGGCAATTTTGCCAATTTCACACAAATTTCAGAAGATGCCAATTTCCAAATAGGATCCAGAATAAGCTAGACAGACATTCCTGGCACAAAAATAACATTTTCTCTGTTCATTAGTCATGTCCCCAGGTCCCTCTTACATCTCTTTTGCTTTCCACTTTGAATTTTCATTCTCACAAAAAATAGAAGATTTACCGTTATGCAGACTACTGCATTAGTGTAGAAATGGTATAAATAATATCAGTGCACTTGTGAAAGATTATTAGACTCACCAGTTGATGTGTATTGGACGCGTGGCATGACTTGTTTACTTTTGAAATTTGGTAAAAATCGAACATTTCTGCTACTTTGAGCTCAATATCAACGTACTTTTCATTATGAAACCAATCAAAATCATCTCAATTTCTGTAATATGTCTTCCATTCTATAAAATGAGACCAGGAGAACTAGAATACAACTATAAATACTATACGAAAATACACTGCAAAGTCGCTGTTTTAAACCAAAAACACATAGTTTTTTTTTTCTCATTATGCACTGTGTGCTGCAGGATTTTTTTATGCTGTGCACACTGACCACATAGACCCATTCTTTCATATGTAGACCTACCAGCTTCCTCTCACTAGATTTGAAGGCGCTAGAATTTAGGCGTTCTAGTACGTCAATAACCCTGGTGCGTAAGCCATACTAGTACGTCAGAAACCCTGAAAGGGTTAATAGTTTTGAGGGCATTCAGATTAGGGTGGGAGATTACAAAAGTTGTGTCATCCACAAAGAGAACCGTGAGTTGCCGAGATACATTTGAAAGATCATTGATGTATACGAGGAAAAGCAGAGGGTCAAGGACACTGCCCTGTAAGACACCTATGCTGATAGGTCTTGTTCACAAGGTTGTGCCCTTGATAGACATAGGTGTCTGTTGGTAAAGTAGGACTTCATATATGAAAATACATGACCTATGATATCATAATGATCAAGTTTGAAGTGCAAGAAAAGTTTTCCTAAGGTCAATAAAGAAGTTTAATGGATACTCATTATTTTCATGAGCTGTGTAAAGGAATTCTAGCATCTGTATGATTGCATCATTTGTGCTTTTATTTGATCAGAAACCAGTCGCTAGCAGGGGTTGAGTATACTGCGAGATACTAGAAAAGAGTATAATCTCGTGTGCATTAATTTTTTGAAGATTTTGGATAACAATAGTAAGTTAGATACTGGTCTACAGTTATTTACATCAGTTCGGTCTCCACCTGTGTGTTGGGGTAACCCTTGCTATCTTTAGTAATGTTGGGAAAGTGTGGGTTTCTTATGATTTGTTGAACAATATTGCAGTGGTGGATGAAAGAACACGAGCTGCTCTTCTCAACAGTAGTGGTGGTATTTGAGCTAAGTTTCCCGACTTGTTTTTCAATTAATTTATAATCAGGATGACTTCAGTGGGATTAGTTGCACCCCATACCCATCCTGTGGGAGGTAATCAAAATGTTAAGTAGGCACATAATGGGTCCAAGGACTGGGCCACAAAGTCTGATAGTTAACCAAGTTACCATGGTAACAAACTATCAAGAAACTTTTTGTTCAAGTTTCTATTCTCGAGAGGAACCAAAGTTCCCTTCCAAATTCCCACTAATCATTGGGTATTATTCCTTCCCAAGAAACTAGGAAGCAGGATTTAATACAACACAAGCTGTGTTGACCCACGAACCCCCCAACACCTATACCACTATGGTTAATATCCAGAGAGAATAAGGAATGATGGCAATATTCATAATCTAGTAAATATACACAGCTGGCATGGAAGGAAAATTACCCACCATGAAGCCACCAAGGATTTACGTATCACTATTCCATTGCAATTATAGCCATGCAGCAGGTGCCATCTTCAGTGCAAATCAATTACAACTGCACTTTTCAAGCACATATTCACGAAATTACATTTTTAGAGGTTGCACAAACCAAGCGTCTACTGTACTCTTAACACATTACTCGACAGAACTGAAAATAAGTTAATCAATAGTGCGCTTTAAGTACTGCACCAAATACCAGTATCCCTGGTAGTAAAGCAATTAAGTGTGCACCCTCATTTACCTATGGGAATAGTGGTATGGTATGGTCAACAAAAATATCAAGAGGTATGTGATATAAAAACATTGGGGAACCTATCTTAAACATTACTACACAAATTTGTCATTATATACTTCTACCAGAAAAAAAAAATGCTTGACATGTTACATACTGTGTTGGTGACAACTGCTGACCAGGGACCAAGTATAAGCACAGCCCCAGTTAACCATTCCATTAGCTTGGTCATAATGATCTGGAAATTAGGATATATGCATAATTATAATTAAAAAAAAAATGTCAAACCAATGGGGGCATTCAAAAATGAATTAAAAAAGGGAGCACACTGCCAAAGAAAGGCAAAGACTATAGAAGCAGGGTACAGAGAAAATGTAGAAAGCAAAACACCACAAGAATGATAAAGCAACTGACCAACACCTGATGGAAAACTTCAGACAGCATCTGTATTACAACTGGTACAGTCATTCCTACAAATTCTCTAGATGTTACATTCCTGACAGTCTAGCCAAACTAGAAACCAGAGGAACAAAAAGTCTAACAAATTTTGTTTCAGAAATCATGTATCTGTAATATGTCTGGATGATAATGACATTCATAAATAACAACCAGAAAAAAAATTGGCATGGGAAATCCAGAGCAAAAAAAATGGATAATTAAATGTTTGCTGATTGCCCATTAATAAAAACATTTCATAATTAAAACATATGATTAAGGAAGCTCATGAAGTTGTAGGAATGACTACTCTAAAATCCCTACCATAAACCACAGAGGCTAAGGCCTGACCAGTACAATCAAAATTCCCTCGCATACGTAAGGCTAAACTAAAGGGCTGCCCATCTTCGCAAAACAAAACAAGAAAAAGATAAGAAATTATAATGCAAAATCACATGGCACGATTTTCATGAAGTTCACTGAAAAAATAATAAAAATTTCTCAATGATACAAGCCATAAAGCACAAAAAAAGTCATCATAAAGTCAGGTGCACAAGTCGCCAAATATCTTGCCTTGGTCCAGCATTCAGTTGATATCTCCTTAATTTACCTGACATATTACACGTCTCCATTGCTTTGTGTGTTGGATACTTTCCTGACCATTGCACATAAAGCAAATACAGTGGACCCCCGCTTTACGATCAGCTCCCAATGCGACCAATTATGTAAGTGTATTTATGTAAGTGCGTTTGTACGTGTATGTTTGGGGGTCTGAAATGGACTAATCTAATTCACAATATTCCTTATGGGAACAAATTCGTTCAGTAATGGCACCTGAATATACTTCTGGAATGAAATAATATCGTAAACCGAGGGTCCACTGTATATAACAAAACACTGGAATTCATTCTGAGACTGTCAGTTCCTGTACATACCTTGATTATCTTTATCAAATAAATACAAACTTTCTACACATGCACCAAACAGTTATCTAAAAAAAAAATAAACTTGACTGAAAAGGTGAAGAAAAAATATAATTCAGAATTCCCTAATGTGTTATGTATTATGTACTGGTAGCCATCCAGAGCAGCAGACACAAGCACAGGTGGAGGTAGAGGATAGTGGAAGTGGAAGATGGCGGTGGAGGTCAAACTGATGTGAGTAGAAGACAGTGCAGGGTTGTCAAGGTCACACTAGTGGAAGGCAGGGTAATGTCTCAAGAAGACAAATGTGAGGAGCTGTCATCAGCAGACAGCAGCAATGGTGCTGTCTCTCACCATGAGATGTTTTATAAACCAATCTTCAACAACCAATATGACTTAGTCACCCTGCAGCCACAATTATAATGGTGAGTAATTGTAATTGTTTTACATGATGGTAGGATTGCTGGTGTCTTTTGTCTGTCTCATAAATATGCAAGATTTCAGGTATGTCTTGCTACTTCTACTTCCACTTAGGTCACACTACACATACATGTACAAGCATATATATACACACACACCCCTCTGGGTATTCTTCTATTTTCTTTCTAGTTCTTGTTCTTGTTTATTTCCTCTCATCTCCATGGGGAAGTGGAACAGAATTCTTCCTCCGTAAGCCATTCGTATTGTAAGAGGCGACTAAAATGCCGGGAGCAAGGGGCTAGTAACCCCTTCTCTCATATAAATTACTAAATTTAAAAGAGAAACTTTCGTTTTTCTTTTTGGGCCACCCTGCCTTGGTGGGATATGGCCGGTGTGTTGAAAGAAAGAAAGAAAGAAAGAGTACAATTAGGTGAGTACCTTACCCAACACTCACAGACTCACTCACACCTTACCCAACACTCACTCTCACCCTTCCCAACACTCACTCACACCCTTCCCAACACTCACTCTCACCCTTCCCAACACTCACACCACAAGAGTCAGTCCTAGGGTTGGTGCTGTTTTTTATTATATAAACAAATAAATAAATTATATATAATATATTGCATGCATGCATGCAATAAGATCACAGTAAACAGGTGATTTCAGAATATGCAAAACAACTACTGTACTGTGAAAGAATAGAGAAATCCCAAGCGCTTTCGTGACTACTCACATTATCAAGGAACAATGTTCCTTGACAATGTGAGTAGTCATGAAAGTGCTTGGAATTTCTCTATTCTTTCACAGTGGTTGTTTTGCATATATATACAGTGGAACCTCAAAAATCGAACGTATCACATATCGAACGTTTCGAAAATAGGACCATTTTTTCGGACCGTGTCCCTATTATCGAACGCACCCCTATTTTCGGACCGCCGGGTACGGGACCTGTCTGCCAGCCCGCTCTGTCCGCGTCCCCGCACAGGCGCCGTGAGCAGTCTAGCTTTGTTTATGCTTGAGTGAACACTAACCTGCGCTCTCATTCACGCATTTTACGATTGTTTCATTGTGTTTAGTGCTTGTGGGACTGTGAAATAAGCTGCCATGGGCCCAAAGAAACTTACTAGTGATACCCCTGTGGTAAAGAAAGTGAGAAACACCATAGATGTAAAGAAGGAAATAATACAGAAGTATGAGAGTGGTGTGAGACTTGTTGAGCTTGCCAGGATGTATGAGAAAAACAAGTCGACCATCGGCTCTATCCTGTCAAAGAAAGAACAAATCAAGGAAGCTGATGTTGTGAAAGGTGTTAATATATGGAGTGGATGAGGTGCCTTCTTCAAAGATTAAGGAGATTTGTGCCAAGTGGAATGATGTCCAAATGTTTGTGCAGAAGTACCACCCTGAGCAAGCTGAAACAAGCCATCTCTGCAACAAGTTCAGTGACAGACCATGTCCCATTTTAGGGAAATGTTAAAGAGGCACCAGAAACAGAGGACTGTGGACAGTTATTTTATGAGACAAGGGTCCAGTGACTCTCAAGCTGGTCCTAGTGGCATTAAAAGACAGAGAAGGGAAGTAACCCCAGAGAGGGCTTTACCTGAAGTCCTCATGGAGGGGGATTCTCCTTCCAAACACTAACCCCAACTCCCTCTCTCCTCCTCCCTATCTTCCAGATGCCATCACCCATCTTCAATAAAGGTAAGTAAAAATGTTATTTTATATGTATTACTATACATAATTAAAAACTATAGTATTTGTTGTATGTAAAACTGTAATTAATCTCTATAAAATGTATTTTTTGTGTGAATATTTTTGGGTTTCTGGAATGGATTAATTGTATTTCTATTATTTCTTAAGGGAAATATTGCTTCGAATTTAAGACTTTTCGAATTTAGAACTAGCTCCTGGAATGGATTAAGTTCGATTTTTGAGGTTCCACTGTATGTTATATATATATATATATATATATATATATATATATATATATATATATATATAATATATATATATATATAATATATATATATATATATATATATATATATATATATATATATATATATATATACACTCTTATTAAATAACATTTCGGTCCTGGGACCTTGATCAGGTTTAAAGACAGTATACGTATATATATAGGCAGAAAGTAAGGTGTGAGTGACGCCTGGCGACCTGAAGAATGCCATATTGGGATGAGGACGAGTAGACGATGAGATCATGTGATTCCTGTGTTGCTGGGTAGGTGGTACTTTGCCAGAGTGAGTATCATGTATGCTAATGTTTTAGAAATTTTGTGGTTTCCAGTGTTACGTTATATTGTGTCGGTGATGGCGATTAGTGAGGCTTCTAGACACCGTCGGCGTCTATGGTCTTGTTTGGTGAGAACGAGTTGTGCCTCATCCCAGTTCATCAGATGCCCCCTCATCCCAGTTCATCAGATGCCCCATGGAGCCTCTGTCCTAGTGTCTGCTTACATGTTTTTCTACACCAACTTGTCGGTATTTATTACCAAGGTTTATACCATATATGTATATAAATGATATAATGGAAAGACAGAGGTGTCCCTGTTTGCAGCAGACTATGTGAAGCTAATGCAGAGAATTCAAGTGGATGAGGATCAGGTATAACTACAGAGGAATGTGGACAGGCTGTTAGTCTGGTCCAGCGAATGGCTCCTGGAGTTTAACCACACCAAGTACAAATTATTATTATTATTATTATAATCAAGGGGGAAGCGCTAAACCCGGAGGATTATACAGCGCCTGGGGGGGGGGGATGTGGAAGGCATTCAGGCTTAATTCGGGGAACTGGAGCACAGATCCAATTCCCTAAATCAAGAGCCCCTCACCAACATCAAGGAACCTTCCTTGAGGGGACCAAGTACAAAGTCATGAAGATTGGGGAAGGTCACAGAAGACTGCAGATGGAGCACATGCTCAGGGGTCAAAGACTGGAAACCTCACTTAAGGAAAAGGATCTCGAGGTGAACATCATACTGAGCACATCTCCTGAGGTGCACATCAACAAAATAACTACTGCAGCATATGGGCGCCTGGCAAACCTAAGAATAGCGTTTTGACATCTAAGTAAGGAGTCATGCGCAACACTGGACAGTGTATGTCAGGCTCATATTAGAGTACGCAGCACCAGCATGGAACCCACACCCGGTCAAACACATCAAGAAATTAGAGGAAGTGCAAAAGTTCACAAGACAGGGGCGTTGATCCCCGGAACTCTCTCCAGGTAAACTCCAGGTATGAGGTGTTGAGGGAAATCAACCTGACAACACTGGAGGAGAGGAGTGATGGGGGAAGGGGGTCACATAACGGCAATGGACAAGGTGGATGGGGACAGGATGTTTCATGGGACAGAGCAACATAGGGTCACAGTTGGAAGTTGAAGACTCTGATGAGTTCCAGGGATGTTAGGAAGTATTTCTTCAGTCATAGAGTTGTCAGGAAGTGGAATAGTCTGGAGAGTGATATAGTAGAAGCAGGATCCATACAGAGCTTTAAGAAGAGATATGATATAGCTCATGGAGGAGGGAGAGTGACCTGGTAGTGACCAGTGAAGAGACAGGGCCAGGAGCTGTGAATCAACCCCTGCAACCACAAATTGGCAAGTACATATAACACTCACTCACCTTCCTCACCACCAACACACCCCTCAACACCAGCACTCGCCCTCACAACAACACTCATTCACCCTCCAACAACACTCATTCACCCTCCAACAACACTCATTCACCCTCCAACAACACTCACTCACCCTCCAGCAACAACACTCACCCTCCAACAACATTCACCCTCCAACAACAACACTCACCTCCAACAACAACACTCCCCCCTCCAACAACACTCACCTCCAACAACTCACCCTCCAACAGCAACACTCACCCTCCAACAACACTCACCCTCCAACAACATTCACCCTCCAACAACACTCACTCACCCTCCAACAACATTCACCCTCCAACAACAACACTCACCCTCCAACAACTCACCCTCCAACAACATTCACCCTCCCAAAAGCAACACTCACCCTCCAACAACATTCACCCTCCAACAACAACACTCACCCTCCAACAACAACACTCACCCTCCAACAACACCACTCACCCTAAAACAACAACACTCACCCTCCAACAACTTCACCCTCCAACAACAACACTCACCCTCCAACAACACTCACCCTCCAACAACATCACCTTCCAACAACACTCACCCCCCAGCAACAACACTCCCCCTCCCAACAACACTCACCCTCCAGCAACAACACTCACCCTCCAGCAACACACCACCCTCCAGCAACACACTCACCTCCAACAACAAAACTCACCCCCAACAACACACCCCACCCTCCAACACACACTCACCCTCCAAACAACAACATCACCCTCCAAACAAAAACCCCCTCCAACAACAACATTCCGCCCTCCAACAGCAACCACTCACCCTCCAACAACAAACACTCACCCCCCAACAAACACTCACCCTCCAACAACAACATTCGCCTCCAACTACAACATTCACCCTCCAACAACATCATTCACCTCCAACCAGCAACACTCACCCTCCAACAACAACATTCACCCTCCAACAACAACATTCACCTCCAACAGCACCACTCACCCCCAACAACAACACTCACCCCCCCAACAAAAAACACTCACCCTCCAGCAACAACACTCACCCCCCCCAACAACAACACCCCACCCTCCAACATTTACCCTCCAACAACACTAAACCCTCCAACATCACCCTCCAACAACAACACTCACCCTCCAACAGCAACACCCCCCCTCCAACAGCAACACCACCCTCCAACAACAACATTCACCCTCCAACAACACACCCTCCAACACTCCCCCCAACAACATTCACCCCCAACACTCACCTTCCAACAACACTCCCCCCTCCAACAACATTCACCCTCCAACACTCACCTTCCAACAACACTCACCCTCCAACAACATTCACCCTCCAACACCACCACTCACCCTCCAACAACACCACTCACTCACCCTCCAACAACACCACTCACCCTCCAACAACACCACTCTAAGTGACACGTCTGCAGTAGTAGTTTTACCGGCAGGTGCTGCCATCTATTGGCCTCTCAACACATCTCAGTAACTCTAGAAAATGGTACCAGTAATATGGATGGTTAACTCAACTAGAAGACTCTTCCGATTATAATTAATAATAATAATAATAATAATCTTTATTTACTACAAGTACATGTACATGGTATACAGTCCTAGCTGACAACAATGACATACTACTACATAGAAAGCCACTTGTTATGCTGAGCATCTCGGGCAAATTAGGTCAGTGTCCCAGGATGCGACCCACACCAGTCCACTAACACTCAGGTACCCATTTTACTGATGGGGAACATAGACAACAGGTGGAAAGAAACACGTCCAATGTTTCTACTCTGGCTGGGAATCGAACCCAGGCCCTCACCGTGTGAAACGAGAGCGTTAACCACCAGGCCACCAGAGCCACTAAATTAACTCGGAGGGTTAGTAACCCTCCATAATCCAGGAATAACCTAGCTTATTTAGGTACATTTTAGGCAGTTACAGATGTTTATAATTGCCTTACATAATTTATGGCAATATGTTATTATATATGTTGATAACATAAGCCAATAATAACAAAAGGCTGCAGTAAGAATGGTCACACGCTCCATCACTCTTCAGAGACCTAAATCCACTCGCAGTACAAAACATTCACTTACTACTGTGCATCCTACATTTACAGAACATTAAATTCTAGTATTAATCCCGACCTGAAGCACTTCCTTGATAGTTGCAACAGGACCCATAGACATAATACTAGGCCTGGTGGCTAAAGCTCCCGCTTCACACACGGAGGGCCCGGGTTCGATTCCCGGCGGGTGGAAACATTCGACACGTTTCCTTACACCTGTTGTCCTGTTCACCTAGCAGCAAATAGGTACCTGGGTGTTAGTCGACTGGTGTGGGTCGCATCCTGGGGGACAAGATTAAGGACCCCAATGGAAATAAGTTAGACAGTCCTCGATGACGCACTGACTTTCTTGGGTTATCCTGGGTGGCTAACCCTCCGGGGTTAAAAATCCGAACGAAATCTTATCTCTCTTATCTTATCTGACATACCCTGTGTCCAAAATTCAATGTACATAAAAGGGCCCAAAATCTGGAACTCTCTGAAACCTGCAGAGCCACTGTCTCAGCCAGTATCTTCAAAATTACCCTTAAAAAATACCTTCTCTCCCTAATATATCCCAACATGAGCTAAATATGTGAAAACTATATATCTCATTGTCACTAACATATGGAAAATAGTATAAACTTATTTTTAATATCTGTAATGCTCACTACCATTAAAACATTGAATGTTAATATGCTGTTTAGTTTTAGTGTGTAAGCATTAGTGTTAGTCTGCCAGATTATTATTATAATCAAGGGGGAAGCGCTAAACCCGGAGGATTATACAGCGCCTGGGGGGGGGATGTGGAAGGCATTCAGGCTTAATTCGGGGAACTGGAGCACAGATCCAATTCCCTAAATCAAGAGCCCCTCACCAACATCAAGGAACCTTCCTTGAGGGGTAGTCTGCCAGAAATGTTCAGGCATGTTAGTGGTTTTATTTGTAGTTAACATTTTATAACGTGTAAATCACACATTGTATACTATGCAAACAAATCAAAAAAATAATTTAATTCAATTTAATATGCGTATATTTCCTAGGTTAACATAAAATAGATAAGTGTCTTATTTATATCAGCGTCCTGCAAGTTACTCAACTTTACCTGGAGTATACCTGGAGAAGGTTTCGGGGGCCAACGCCCCCGCGGTCCGGTCTGTGACCAGGCCTCGTGGGGTGGATCAGGGCCTGATCAACCAGGCTGTTACTGTTGGCCGCACGCAACCCGACGTACGAACCACAGCCTGGCTGGTCAGGTACTGACTTTAGGTACCTGTCCAGTGTCTGCTTGAAGACAGCCAGGGGTCTCTTGGTAGTCCCCCTTATGTATGCTGGACACTTATTGTGTTGTCTCTTATCGTGCTAGTGGCACCCCTGCTTTTCATTGGAGGAATATTGCATCGTCTGCTGAGTCATTTGCTTTCACAGGGAGTGATTTTCGTGTGCAAGTTAGATACTAATCGCCCTAGGATTTTTCGAGTATATATAATCATGTATCTCTCCCGCCTGCATTCTAGGGAGTACAGGTTGAGGAACCTCAACCGTTCTCAGTAATTTAGATGTTTTATCTCAGTTATGCGCGCCGTGAAGGTTCTCTGTACATTTTCTAGGTCAGCAATTTCACCTGCCTTGAAAGGTGCTGTTAGTGTGCAGCAATATTCCAGCCTAGATAGAACAAGCGACCTAAAGAGTGTTATCATGGGTTTGGCATCCCTAGTTTTGAAGGTTCTCATTATCCATCCTGTCAATTTTCTAGCAGATGCGATACAATGTTATGGTCTTTGAAGGTGATATCCTCTGACATGATCACTCCCAGGTCTTTTACATTAGTTTTTCGCTCTATTGTGTTGTTGGAATTTGTTTTATAATCCGATATAGTTTTAGTTTCCTCATGTTTTCCATATCGGAGTAATTAAAAATTCTCATCATTGAACTTCATATTGTTTTCTGCGGCCCATTTGAAGATTTGGTTGATGTCCACCTGGAGTCTTGCAGTGTCTGCAATGGAAGACACTGTCATGCAAATTCGGGTGTCATTTGCAAAGGAAGACACGGTACTGTGGCTGATATCCTTGTCTATGTCAGATATGAGGATGAGGAACAGGATGGGAGCGAGTACTGTGCCTTGTGGCACAGAACTTTTCACTGTAGCTGCCTCAGACTTTGTTTACTACTACGCTTTGTATTATTTGTTAGGAAATTATAGATTTCATATTGGAACTTGAGTAGCCCACTCATTTCCATGCTGTCATCTGTGTAGGACCCATCTTGTTTAAGTAGGGGTCTAATACTGGATGTTGTACTCGACTTTGATTTGGCATAAGATTAGATTTTGTTGGGATTATTATACACAGTTATATACACTGTAGGATCTAAACAGGAGTCTTCTGGCAGGGCTGCATCTGCTCTTGTTGCCACCTCCCTAGTTAAGAACGATAATAAACTTGTTGAACTGGGCATAAGAATTAACAACTGGGCGTCTACACTGCAAACTAAACTGTTTGCAATCCTAATGGCGCTAGAGCTAACTCATGACACTGAGTTTGACTCTATCATCATTACTGATTCTGTCATCACTGAAGGCTCTTAACTCATATAATGACTCCAACAACATACTCATTGGTGTGGAAAATACTGTATATATTTTCCAGAAATTCAGTATTTATATGTAAATAGATGGCCATACTGTATTTAATAATATTTGTCATAGAAAACGGAAAGCCTGCGTCTGCGCAGACGAGACTCGCCATCTTGGTTTTGAATTTTGTATTAGAAACGTTGGTGAATGGGGAAGAATTTTTCGTTCTCTAGAGGTTAAAATTGTGCTGACACCTCTCAAATAGGAGGCGGAATTGGTGGATGTGCATTCCTGCATAACTTGAGATATCAGACGACTGGACAAGACAGCTCCAGGAACCTCAGATAAGCTCTCTAGATTTGTGTATAATTCTGGCCAGTGTTTTCATAAATTTAGTTAGTGAGGTTTTTCTGAGTATGATACAATTTAATATCCAGTCAAATTGGTGAGTGATATTAAGATATAATTTCCTTCTGTTATGTAATTGTGTATATATATAACCATTTATTATTTTTAATATACAGTCCACAAATTTATATATTTACCAGTATTCCTGGTGTATGTATATTTCATTTAATTAATAGGTCCAGAGCAACTTGTGGTTATGACAGTGGTAGGTATCGAAGGGGGACATTTTTTGCGGCCTAGGTGTCCCAAATTCCTACTTGTCTATGTATCATTGATAAATAATAATTATCTTTGTTAATTGGAGAAGCCAGGTATAGATGCTCAAAAATCAGGGACAAAGGAATTAATGCACAATTGCTATGGATCCCATCACACATTGGATTACTCCTTCATGATAAAGTTGATATGTTAGCCAAGAAGAGTACCCAGAAGGAGAATGTAGAATATAACTTTGGTATATCTGTGTCTAGCATTAGGAATAATATTAGGAGAGAAGTAAACAATGAAAATGATTGTTAAAGGAATGTAGTTAGAAGCTTGAGTAGATCTATAACCCACTATGATAACATGAACGTAGATAAGTATGTTTATGAAGCAACTTGCAATGTGAACACTGATGTTGTAGTGGCCAGGCTTAGGCTGTGTGGAAAATACTGTATATTTTCCGGAAATACGGTAATTTATATGTAAATAGATGCCCTATATTGTATTTTTAAAAGAAGTATGTTATCGAAAATGGGAAACTGGAAGCTGTGCCTGCGCAGAAAGGGACTCGCCATCTTGGTTTTGAATTTTGTACAAACGTTGGTGTAATGGGAAGAATTTTTCGTGCTCTAGAGGTTAAAATTGTGTTGACACCTCTCAAATAGGAGGCAAAATTGGTGGATGTGCATTCCTGCATAACTTGAGATATCAGACGACTGGACAAGACAGCTCCAGGAACCTCAGATAAGCTCTCTAGATTTGTGTGTAATTCTGGCCAGCATTATTTTCATAGATTTAGTTAGAGTGAGGTTTTCTGAGTATGATACACATTAATATCCAGTCAAATTGGTGAGTGATATTAAGATACATTTTCCTTCTGTTTTGTAATTGTGTATATATATAGCCATTTATTATTTTTAATATACAGTCCACAAATTTATATATTTACCAGTATTCCTGGTGTATGTATATTTCATTTAATTAATAGGTCCAGAGCAACTTGTGGTTATGACAGTGGTAGGTATCGAAGGGGGACATTTTTTGCGACCTAGGTGTCCCAAATTCCTACTTGTCTATGTAACATTGATAAATAATAATTATCTTTGTTATCATTTACTGTTATGTACATAATTAGTTACATTCAGATAAATGCAATTTTCCAAATTTAATTTGCCCGTTGGTCCTTCTTGAACCGGAGGTAATTAGTGAAGTCATTAATTAGTTAATTACTAATAATTA